TAAGTCTACCTGCCCTGGCCCCGAGTGGCCCTGTCCTGAGCTTGGCTGGTCCCGAAAAGCAGGCTGTGGGGCAGATGGTATCTTCTGTGTAGAGAAGCAGAGCATAGTGGGGGGTGTGGGGCTTAGGTGCCCAGAGCTCAGTTCCCAACTATGTTCTGCTTCCTGTTTATGGAGTAAACTTGAGTAAGTCTCATCTCTTAGAAACTGGGCACTTCTGATCATTCTGATTAGGCCCTAAATCAAATACAGTCACATACGGCAGTTTTAGACTGTGTACCTGTGCCCGACCAAATGTGAACTGAAACAGATCTAGGTTATTCCTTCAGACTGGCTTTTCAGACTGCCAGGAAACAAGCAGAGAAAAAAGATTTACAAAACTCAAATCTAGAGGGGGAGATACACACACACTTGTGCACTCACGCACACGTACACGCATACACACACACACAAACAAAACCAAAAGCTGACCAAACCCAAAACAAAATCAACAAACAAACAAACAAACAAACAAACAAACAGTAACTATCCCCTAACCAGGACATAGCAATCTCTAGGAAGCAAAGTAAAAATTTGTCACAGGAACACAGATTCAGGGAAAGAGCAGATTGTCATTAGCTTGTACTAGAAGAATTGCAGAGTCCCTGAAGTTTGAGCCACAGCATGCTATGTTAGAAATGGTTACAGCAAGGATCCAGCAAGGTTTTCTAGATGACATATGCCATGAGATTTCCATTTGAGAATGGGGAGACTTCTGAGGGCACTGCCAGCTGCCAGTCATTAATCAACCATGAGCTTGAACCTTTTTGTGTATGCTTCTTTCCTGGAGTCTGTCTTGTGTGTACATGCATGTGCTTTTGTGCAATGAATTGTATTACGGATGAGGTAGGATTCATATTTTGAAGGAAAACACTCCTGGTTCAAACCATGGCTCTGCCTGTGTCACCCACTTTGGCATGCTGGGGAAAAAAATTGAGCTGCAAAGAAGATGATGGTACCTCTATAGTCACTAGCCAAACTATCTACCCATTAACTCAGTGACAATGGTGGCAGTCGTAACGCTCTGTGTAAAATGCTTAACATAGTGTTAATGGTATCATTATATAACATTATAACATATGCACACATGAAGAGAAATGCTATCCTCGGAGGCATATATGACATGCATGTCTCACAGGCAGATAAACATGCTTGTCTATGTACCCAAACGCAGCTCACACTCACACATACACCTTTGTTCTACAATCTCATGGAGCTGGGGAAATCTTGTTTTGTCAAGCTGGGGTTTTGAGGTCTTGCTGAGTATAAGTTCCATAGTTTTCATGGTCATGGAATTGTGGGTATGGTTTACAGGCTTCTGAAGTGGTAGCATGGGCATGTGGTCACATCCTTAAAGTGGCAGTCCATGGAAAAGATGTCAGGGTAAATAAAATAAAATGGGGACCTCAGTTGACCAAGAGCCCTAGAGGTTTGCACCCACAGTTATGTTAAAGCCACATTTCTATTAGCTGCTTTCAGCCAATCAGTGACTGAGTGGGGCAGGGATACAGAGCTAAACTTACCTCCAAGAGACAGAAAATGTGTCTAACAGACCATGCTGGTCCAGCAATCCTGACAGCCTTGTTGAACCTTTCTAGTCTGCAGAGCATCCAAGATCCATCCTTTTTTCCTTCTTTCCCACCCCAGGTCAGATTTGTGTATTGCTATGTATCTCTTGTCCTCTCTTGGCTCCTCTCAAGTCTCTCTTCACATTGGGACAGGGCTGTCCCAGGGGGACATCTCGGAATACTGTGTTTCTCTCTGTTTTAGTGTCACAAGGAAGCATTAAGCTCCAGTTCCCAGAAGGATCCCTGGATGAAATCTCTTGAGCACAAAGGAGAGAAGGATAAAGAAGGGGAGCGTTGTGTACCTCTGACCATGTGTGTTGTACTGCTAGAACCTTCTCAACCACACTTGCTGGCAGACCCAGAACATTCTGAAAAGGTGGAAGTGCAGGCTGGACAAGCTCTGAATTGCCTGAGGTCATGAGATTTGAAAGAGGCAGAGCCTGACTAGGAACCCAGGCTTTCTGATACCCTAGTTGTCTTCTCTCTGTGTCTCTCTATCTCTCTGTCTCTCTGTCTCTCTCTGTCTCTCTCTTTCTCTCTCTGTGTCTCTCTCTGTGTGTCTCTGTGTGTCTCTCTGTCTCTCTGTCTCTCTCTCTCTGTCTCTCTCTCTCTCTGTCTCTCTCTCTCTCTCTCTCTCTCTCTCTCTCTGCTTGTGCTGTCCACTGGATATCTTCTCAGTAGCTCTCACACCTATCTTATATCCATAACTTTCCTAGGACAGGATTGTGTCATTCATCAGTCTGCTTCATAGATGAGAAGCTGAGACTTGAGCTAAGTCAGCCGCCCGAGGTCTAGGCAGGAACCAACTCAGAGTCACGTTGTTTAGCTTTGCTGTGCTACCTTAACTTCTGCCAAAAATATACCCAAGTTGCTTGCTGCCATGGTCCATAATTCACGGTTCTCTTCTCTTTCTGGAAACACAAGCCTCAGAACAGTGAGGGGTCTGACTAGGCCCAGTACCCAGTGGCTGGAGCCCAGCGTGAGGCTGGGGAGAAGCCATGCTCGCCCATACTGGAAACCCAACACCAGCCTCCTTCCTTCTCGCTTGAAAGTGCTCTAGAGTTTCTGTGCTCACAATGCATCCCTTTGGAAGGCTGCCCTCCAAGGGTTGCCATGGTGACTATTTTGGTACTGCATGCTAGAAAAAGCTGAGGCACCTGCTGGTCACACCACCAAAACTTGTCTCTGAAAAATCAGCAGATGGCGTTTGTCAGAAATTCCTGCTTCTTGATTAATTTGGGAAAAAGGAGAATGTGTGGCAGTGCCAATATCCTTTAACCTGGATGGTTCATGTTGGTGTCGGGGAGAAGATGGGGTGCAGCTGTGTGGTAAACCTATTCCTCTGACATGCTGGGTCACTTAGCTTTTCCACAGAGGTGACAAAGTGTGGTGGTTTGGAGTCTGGTAAATGAAAGAAGACGAAGGCCATGGTTTTGCTTTTCTATTAAAGGGGGTTGGAATTTCAGGTTCTGCTCTGGAAAGGTTTTATGGTAGCCTGAGCCTACCTGGAGCTCACTATGTAGCCCAGGCTAGCCTTGAACTCAGCAAATCTTCTTGCCCGAGCCTCCCAAGTGCTGAGATGGGAGGCATGGGTACCAGGATTGATTCCATGAGTTCTGAAATAGACCCTCAGATTGGGTCTACTTTTTTTTTTTTAATTAGATGAGTGGTAAGCATGGCTTTTATTTAAATCTCACTTCTGTCACTACCAATTGTGTGACTAGCAATTTCCCCATCTCACCTGAACCTCCACTTCCTCATGATGGATGAGGGATGATAATCTTTATCTCACAGAAATTCAGCAGAATCTCACCAGCCCTCAGCTTAGGCATGAGAGGACTGGCCACTTTATCGGCGTTTTACACAGAGCTTTGTAGCTGGGCTTATGAAAACAAACCAATTTTGCTGTCAGCCTAAGCAGTGGTATTGTGACTGGAACAAGACAGAAAATACAACAACAACTCCTGGGTGCCTATTGTGCAGAGTGCCCCCCATGTTAGCTGCTGCCTTCTGCTTTTCTAGGAACTTGCTCCTCCACTGCTCACGTGCTGGCTGTCAGGCACCCGTCACAGTTCCAGCATCTGTTGGTTCCCAGTCTTTCCTAGGAAACTCTGACTATAGGTATTGGGCAGCTCCTGATGCGTGCACTGCGGGCCATCTAGGGGACAGACACCTACAGGAGGCGTCTGCAGACTCAGTTGTGTGGCTTTCCACTTCCACCAGTTGATTCTTTATGGAGAACAAAGATCAAACTTTCCACGAGCAGTCTGTCTCCACCATGAGCATGATAGATCAAGGTTGGCAAAATGTAGGTTCCTGTTCTCCCCTGTGTGACCAGGTGTTGTTAGCCAATTTCTTCTCACTGGGCTGGAGGGCCTAAGAACCTTCTAGAAGAAAGTGTTCAAGGCAGCTGCTACTAACTGAACAGAGCACAAGAAAGTAAATATATTTGTTATCTTAATATACAGGAAAGAAGCAAGGAATAGAAGGCAAAATAGGTAAGACTGCTTACAGTGTTGGCTTTAACTAGGTGTGTGAGCTCGGGTGACTCTTGTCCGTCTCCAAGGCTCAGTTTCTCTACGTGAAATGCACTGAATTTCAAGTATATTTTCCAAGTATATTTTTCCTAGTATATTTTTAAAATAATAAAATGTAATAAGACAATACAGAAACCAACACATTGGAATTGGACAAAACAAATAGAAGGAAAACAGGCCAAGAGATGGCACGAGAGTTGGAGACTCGCTCACCTGTACACCCAGGAACTCCCCCAAAACACCAAATCAGAAGCCTGAGTATACACTCAAAGGACCTGGTGCAGACCTGCACAGGCCACGTGCTTGCTACTTCAGTCTCTGTGAGTTTATATGAGCTTTGATCATGTTGATTTAGAGGACCTTGTTTCCTTGGTGTTCTCCATCTCTTTCTGCCTCCTCTTCCATGGGGTTCCCTGAGCACCGGGGGATTTGATGAAGACATCCCATTCAGGGCTGAGTGTTCCAAGGTCTCTGGCTCTCTGCATATTGTTTGGGTGTGGGCCTCTGTATTTGTTCTCATCTACTGCAAGAGAAAGCTTCTCTGGTGGTGGCTAAGTAAGAAACCTGCTTCCTTGGCCAGCGTCTTCTTCCACCTAGTTTTAAGTCTCAACATTCTTCCTAGCCAGCCCACTCCACCCCCCACCACCACATACACACACTCTCTCCCATCAGGTGGGCTCCCAACACTGAATGCAAGCTCTGATCTGTTCCCTTCCTGGGACTTGTCCAAGTGATCAGATTTTATCAAACATCCTGGGATGGCCCAGGGCCAAGTTAAACATGCTCAGATGGTTGGAATTACCAAATTATAGCATGTTTGTGCAGAAAGTCACCTCATAACACACTGAGCTGAAGCTTCCAGAGGAGAGGTGGAGAAACCAGAACAGGAGAGGTTGGAGAACTTTTCTCGGGGTCGTGCAGCAAGTTGTGAGTTGATCTGGTCCCTCTTTGGGAACCCAGCAGTCCTGAGAGCAGATGCTGCTGATTTTGAGAAGGGCCAAGAAGACCCTATCAAAAGGCAAGCCAGAGAAGATGCTATGTTAGCTCTGCTGGGCCCTGACAGCTGGGATCTGCTGTGAGGGTCACTGTACACAGCTTGGGAGGGCTGTCAAGGAAGGCCTGTGGAGGTCAGACACTGAACTCAGTCTGCTATGTGACCTGAAGGTGATCTTGGAACCTCCACGGTCTTCAGTCTCACCTGTAGGAAGAGGTGATTTATATGGACACTGGTTTTCACTGGCCCTCAAGCCTGACCAGGCAGCAGGAGTCACTCACAGCAGCTGCCTCCCTGGAGATTGTCATTTCATTGTTTTGCATCAGCCACAGCATCTGAAGCGTATAAAAGGCTTCACAAGTGACTCGAATCTATCATCTATCGTCAGTGCCTTTGAGTTGACCGGTGGTGTGATGGTTAACCTTGATTGTCAACTCAATGGGATCTAGAATCACCTAGGAGACAAATCTTTGGGCTGTCTGTTCAGAATTTTCTAAATGAAATTAATGGAGATACGGAAGACCCACCCTGAATGTAGTCAGCATCATTCCATGGGCTGCAGTTCAGACTGGAAAGGAGAAAGGTTGCTGTATATCTGCATGCATCCCTCTGCTTCCTGTCTGTAGAAGCAATGTGAACAACGGCCTTCAGATCCTGAGATCCTGCTGCCATGTCTTCCCTGTCACGATGGACTGTGCTCCTTTAACTGTAAGCCCAAATCAGCTTTCTTCCTTTAAGTTGCTCCTTAAGTTAGGTGTTTGGCTACAACAATCAGGAGAGTAACACAAACATCCTTCCCTCAGAATGTATGCCGTGTTCTAATCAGAGCCTGTGGCTAGTCCACTACTTGGAAAAATAGCCTTTACAGGTCTTCAGTTAAAGGTCTTGCAAGGAAGGAAGCACTCTGTATTATTGGATGGTCTCTTCATTTCAGTGTGTGTGTGTGTGTGTGTGTGTGTGTGTGTGTGTGTGTGTGTGTGTGTTAACTGACAGGAGTCAGCATGACAGTCAGAGCAGAGACCTGGAGTGATATGAACACATTTTTGAAATGCCTATAGCCATAAGAAGCTGAGAGCAGCAAGACATGGATCGTCTTCTGCAGGTGTCAGAGGTGTCACAGTACAGCCGATGTCTTGGTTTGGGATACCTGTCTTCTAGAAGTGGGATAAGACAGATTTCTGTTGTTCCTGACCCCTTAGACACATAAACTGAGCTTTTCGCCAGCCATATGCATCTATGGATGAGTTTAATTTAGAAGTGGGTGAGGAAGCCCCACATCTCTTTGCGTCCTCCAGCATCAGTGGAGGTCTGCAGCTTGGTGTTTGAAGTTTGGAGTGGCTGTTCTGTGTTTATTGACTTTGGAAGCAGGAGGGATTGTAGAAGGCCTTTATTTTTAGCTGGCTACTTTAAAAAAACTATTTAAAATTTTTATTTTTTGCAACAACACTAAAATGTTTTATTTTTTGTATACAAAAAAATAGTTACTTCAAAATATACTTTAATGGCAGAAGAGTTGATAGTAGTTTTTCTTATTTCAAGAAGTTGTACTTAGATCCATCTTAGTTTCATTTGGGTGAGTAGCCCAATTAATTTTCTCAGTGAGTTTACATTATAGAACATTCTAGAAAAAGTAAAGTTATAGACTAATAGAGATTTTAAATGACATAAGTTAGCCTTTTGCTTTCTCTTCCAAATGAAGTTCAGTTAAGCCCTTTCAGCTATCATAATTCACTGAAAAATTTCTGCAAGCATACAACAGTTAATACCATGCTTGGCTTTATTCACTGGTAATAGAAGATATTTAATGAACTGTCTTTGGCTTTTCTGAGCAGTGTTATAATAGAACAAAATAATGCCAGTCATATAGTTTTCTTCTCCTAAAATCATATGTATCTTTTGTTGTTGTTGTTGTTGTAAAAGTTACCAGCATCCAGGTGTAGTGTATATATCTGTAGTCTCAGGAGCCGGGAGGAAGAGGCAGAAAAGTCACCATAAGCATGAGGATAACTGGCCACCTCTGAGTGGCTCTTTGGTGGCCCCGAAGATTCTGGGAACCACTTAATGTTCTTTTCTCAATTGTCTTTTTGCTAAAAATGGGCTAAGATAGATTCTATTATTTATATCAAGAACTGAAGGAGCTGAAGGGATTTGCAACCCCATAAGAAAAACAATATCAACCAACCAGACCTCCAGCACTCACAGGGACTAAACCACTAACCAAAGAGTATACATGGCGAAAGCCGAGGCTCCAGATACATATGTAGCAGAGGATAGCCTTATCTAACATCAGTGGGAGGGAAGGCCCTTGGTCCTGTGGAAGCTTGACGCCCCAGCATAAGGGGGATGCTAGAGTGGTGAGGTGGGGTAGGGGAGTGGGTGGGGGAGCACCTTCATAGAGGCAAAGGAGAGGAAGGAAAGGGGGATGGGAGATCTGTGTGGGTGGTAACTAGGAAGGGGGTTATCATTTGAAGATAAGTGTAAACTAATAAAATGATTTAAAAGAAAACAGAATTCTGACTCCACCCCTTTAAAGGAAGCAAATACATTTGTATCTCCCTCTTTTTCTGTGCCAGGCTGGTCAAATTCATCACAGTTTTGAATCACTCTGCAAATTGGGTCTGAATCCCTACAAAATGGTGTTGACTGTAGGAAATTAAGAAGACAGGGCCATAGTTCTGAGGTGAGGAGGGATTAAGTCCCTGAAGTAGTTGTGGTTGCTGCCTGGGGTGGGGGCGAAAGGGGTACAGATGTTTTTCTAGCTCCTGTGGGTACATTTCTATCCATTGTACAACGTATATCTTGTTATACAGTATGTTTCTACTGAGAAAATGCATGGTCTGATATTTTGCCAGTTCATTGCCATTGAACTCACAGCCAACAGTGCTATAACTTACACCTAAACAAGATTCACCTTACATATGCATATTTTCTGCAAGGCCCATTACAGCTCCATGAAAACTTCAGCACTGTTCCTGACGGCTATTTAAACAGTGAGCTCACCAACAAAAATCCACAAAAATGTAACAGCAAAAACCAACGACCAAACCAAACCAAAACAACCAAAACAAATCATGCTATAAATAGGCCACAAGAGATATATGAGCTGTGATTAAGAAGGTGGCCTGGCCTTGATTGACCCTGGCTGGGGTTGTGTGAATTGGATTGTGTGAATTGGCTGAATTGCTCTGTCTCTGATTGCAGGTGACTGTAAATGCACCCTGGGTGTTGATTTAGGGTTTACAATAAATCTGTGTGAGCAGGTGTGTTCATAAACTCAAAATTTGTGAATTTTGAAGGTCATCTCTTTACCAATAAATATACATGGCTAACCAGGTCATATGGGGCTGGTCAGAACTGCATTTACTAGAGCATGCATGGTCAACTACAAGGTACTCTACAAATCGAGGCTGTGGTGGTAGATACATCAGTCCAGAGCTCTCTGCTCGGTCCAAGAGTGGCTTCTTTCAGTTAGTCTTGAACCAGGGCAAAGTGTTGACTGCAGAAACATACTTCAGTAGGTTTATGAGTTGCCAGGATGGGGTGGAAGGGAGGTCAGCAGGAAAGCTTGCTGGGTTCATTCTGATTCTCATCTTATCCAGGGCCCTAGATGTAAGCATACATACTGTTGAGTGGCAGTGTAGGAATCTGCATCCAGAATCTATTATGCCAGAGTTATTGGCTTAAGCCCCTAAGATATAAGACTATTTTACATAAAACTGTTTATTGAGTTTACTCTTTGACAATTTCATACACGTATTGCGTGCATTTTGGTTGTTTTAAATCTCCTTCCTACCTCTATTACCATTCCCTAAAGGTCTACTTTTCACGTTCAGGGGTTCACTGTTTTCTCACTTTTTTTTTTGTTTTTTCGAGACAGGGATTCTCTGTGTAGCCCCAGCTGTCCTGAAACTCACTCTGTAGACCAGGCTAGCCTTGAACTCAGAAATCTGCCTGCCTCTGCCTCCCAAGTGCTGGGATTAAAGGCATGTGCCACCACTGCCCAGCTGTTTTCTCACTTTTTATTTGTTTTTGTTTTTTTTTCTAGACTCACTGAGTTCAACCAGGATAATCAGTGTGACCACGGGTTTAGAATGGCCTTGACTGTAAAACCCCCAGAAGACAGCATCTCACACTCCTATGTTGTGGCTCTTACATTTTTTCTCCCTGTTTTTCCAGGATGCTTTTTGAGCCTTAGAGATGATGCTCAAGCACCATCCATTCTCTGCACCTTGAGCAGCCATGTGTCTCTGCATCCATCACCATTTGCTGCAAAGAGAGGGCCACTGGGGTGCAGGAAGCCTTAAGGGAAGATAGCATCACCCAGCAGATAGGAAAACAGAGGGGGAGTTCTGAGGGTGGAAAGTTTAAGCAGGAATGAGTCTAGGGGAGGTGGGGGAGACGGGGGAGGGAAAGTTAACTAAAACTAAGGATGTATGAAAAAAGCCATATGGAAACTTGCTACTTTGTAAGTTAATTAAAAATGTAAGTTTAAAAAAAAAAGAAGAGTTAGAAAGAAGATATTCTGCATGTCTAGATAAGGCTGCTTCTGGAAGCCAAGGATTACTAAACGAAATCCCTAGTGCTAGGTGTGAAACACCTTACCTCCTTATGAATCGTTGGTCAGAGAGGCACCAGAGGAGCCTAAAACAATACAAGCTCTTGACACTTTTCTTGATTGTCTGCTGGAACTAGTTGATAAGACCTCATTGCTAAAGATACTGGACACCTTGATTGTAAGCTGAAGAGAAACCAAGTTGTAGTTGAGCTGGAAGCTTACTTCTTGCTGGGAACGGCCCTACAGAGGCTGCTGTGGAGAGAAGACATCGGTGGTCTTACCCAGCTGGGAATAAACCCTACGATCTACAATGTCAACCTTCTAGGCAAGATGTGCCTCCTGGCACAATAATGGTGTGATTACCAACTCTTTACTTGGCTATGAGGCCCCTTCCACAGCACAGATTTCTTATCTCAGTATAAACTTAGACACAAACCCATTACTGAGGAGGTTCAGGCCTTAGATGTTGAGTTAATATTGTTTCTTAGCTAGATTGTCATGGTGCTAAGCTGCCTTATAAATATTTATGTTTATGCCCATAGATAAATGCCACTCCAAGATTTAATCAGGGATGCTAAATTTAACCACATCTTCACAGAGACAAAAATCCATCATCTCAAAAGTTCAGAGAGAACTCACAGACCCTTTGGACTATTTCTCCATCTCCTTTTCTGCCCTAGTTAGAGAAGCACTGCTTTATCGCTGTTCCTCCTTTTCTTGCTCCCATTCTGTGACTTTCCCTGGGAGACATGAACAAACGTTTATTCATCCCAGATAGGGCACTGATAGCAGACCACAAAAAGCTATTGTACTCAAGTTTATTGTATTACATACAGGAGCATGGGTGGGGTTCCTTATAGAAGCCCAGATGATTCAAATGCAGCTTCATCACTGAAATCTCATTCCAGCATAAGTGAGGACTTGAGGTAGCCACATACCTATTGCATTCTGCAGTCCTTGCAAGCAGCTCAGTCAGTGGGAATTCTTTTGCAAACACTTGACTGTTGCTGCTTATATAACCTTGGGGAAAGCGTGAATCCTGCATATTTCAGGGACCTCTTGTGAGTTGCTTTCTTCTTGGCTCCTGTAAGTTTTGTTTATTCTGAGTCTAAGGAATCTTCCTCTTGGGTGGAATGCTCCAGTTGAGAGGAAATAGCGAGGCAACACATGACAGCCTGTCCTGCTGCCTAGAATAAGATATTGTGACATCTTATTCATTCATTCTGTATCCAAGACCAAACAAGATGGCAGCTGCATGGGATGAAGACTTTTGGTGAGGTCATTGTGTAAACTGAGATTGAGATAGCACATTCAGCATCAAGGATGGAGAGATGGACCAGAGGTTGGCTAGACATGAACAAAGGGGCTGCTGAAATGGAGATACTCCAACGACTTCACTCCAGCATCACCTTCCCATCTACCACCTGAAGATTATGGAAATTTGGTCTTGATGTAAAGGTGTGAATTCTACAATGAGAAACAGGTAAGAACCTCCACAGCTACCCAACGCCCACTGTACCCCGGCTCTGTATACATGGCAGGACATGTTGAAATAAGGATGAGGCCATAGTCCCATACTTTAAGACAGTTGTGCCCATGGTTGATAGTCTGTGTTTAGAGCTTGGCTGGTAGACTTTGAAGGTCCAAATCCCTGTACTGTTTGCTTAGCCATTCTATTTTGCAGTTTCCTATGTAAACAGGGAGAAAGTCCTAGTATTTACACTATGGAATTTTGATATGAACTTAGATTAAATGGCTTAGTGCAGGCAGAGATTGTGAGCAATTCCTTCCCTGCAATAAGCACCCATTAGCTTAGTGACCCACTCTTATATGAGAGAGTTGGGGATGAAGAACGTATGTTCCCAAGGGCCTGTAAGACAGAAGCGTGAAGTGTTATTCATTTTGTGTGGATTTTGATTCATGAACTTACCTTAGCAATGGAATTTTACTTAACAGTGACTTGACTCTATTATTATTGGCAATAGTATCGCTAATAGTAGAAGGTACTAATTAAGCACATATGTCTTAGGCCCTGTGAACCATATATTAACATATTACACAATGTAATTGTGTCATAATCAATACTAACAGAAATTCCATTTTCAGATGTGGAAATTAAAGTTCAGGATGTTAAAATAACCAAAATGTCCAAAGTTACAGTAAACACACCATTGTTGGGGGGTAGACTTGGTTGTCATATGTGAAAATGCTGTTTTAGTCAGTGAGCTATGCTATCCTTAGAGAAGGCACAGCTGAATGGGGGCAGCTGACAACTCTGAAGAAGTAACTGCCAGACTTTGGGAAGGTGCTAGAAAAGGTGGCCTTGTAGCTAAGCTTTTCACAGTCTGTACTCTCCCTGGGCTCTCCTGCCTGGTAGTAGAGACTAGGTTTCACCATCATAGTTTTTCCTGCAAGACTATGGTGCTCTGGAGATCTTTGCTGATTTGCTTTGATCCGAGTGAATCACTCAGATGGTACCACTCAACTGATGCTCTCTGTAGTGTGGGTTACAAACCCTAAGGGTATGCAACTGTTTCTGAAGCTGAAGCTAGAGAGATAGTCTGCTTAGAGCCATAAGAATGCTCAACACAGGAAAGATATGTACTACAGCAAATTTGCTCACTGTGGGCTCCTCTAGTTTCTGGGTCATTTACAGCTGACTGCCTATTCTTGAATGTTCCAGAAGGCTCCTGGCTGTTCTGCTTTTCTGAGTAATAAACTGAAGTTGCAAACTAAGAAGGCAGATTGAATTTTTTGCCATGAAAACCCCACAGGTCGTTCATATATAATAGCTGGCTATGTGCCAATGTGACTCTTTCCCCACAACAACTTTGCCCTTCTGTCTCTGCTCGGATATATCCAGGGATGGGGAGAGGGCTACACCGCGCCCCATCTCTGGGAAGTTCAAATCCTCATGAATGGTCTTCTTACTAAGTGAACACTGCTTCACTAGACTCCCATTTGAGCTGCCTCCCTGACCCAAGCCAGGACGGTCCCATCACTCCCTCTACCATAAAAATCCCCCTTGCAAATGGATATCAACCTCTGCCACTGTCACAGATCCTGAGTTGTCAGTGACTCCTGTTCAACATAAGTGGCTGAGAACACCAGGGCACTAACTGAGCGTGACATCAAAATATGATTTCAATAAGCCTGAGTAGCACACTGTAAAATAACAATCTTGTTCCTGTAGCCACAACCTACTTTTGACATATTTCTATCTGAAAGGGCTAATACCCATTCAGAATTGTCAGTCTCAGGGTTCTAGAACCAAACAGTGGGAAATTGCCAAGAGTCGGGAAAAGGGAGAGGACTACAGAGCAGAGAGGACAGATGAGCCTCTGATCCTTCCATAAGGCTCTGCATGGACAGATTGGAGGCATGAGATAAGGTCCAGACCAAAGATAATGGTCAGATGTAAGAGACCCTGGCAAAGGATGCTGGCCTTGGATTGGCGGTGGGAAACTTTGCTTTTAATATGGACTGAATTGTGAACTCTTCATTTATATATCGAAGCTATAACAGTTACTTTTAGTGCCTTAGAGATACAGAGTCAAGGAACTAAAATTAAATGAAGGGCTAAGGTGGAGATTTGATGCAAAAGAGGTAATGTCCTTATAAGCAGAGTCACAAGATCTTCTTCTTCTCTTCCTTCGTCTGTCTGTCTCTGTCTGTCTGTCCACCCGTCTGAGTCATACATAGAAACTGTCCATCCACTGACCAGAAAGAGGGTCTTTATAGCTTCCAGGACTGTGTGGAGACACATTTGGCTTGTGTCAGCTCTCAGGTCTCTGGCCTCTCATTACAGCAGTTCAGGCTGACAAACATGTACAGAGCACTGGTCCAGGTACCATAGCAACCGCTGCCAGGCTCACACATATAGTCAGGACAGGTGGCATGGAGCCTGGGTATGCTTGCCGACACCCAGCCCTGCTTCCTCCTCTGTAGGTCATGTGGAGATGAAATGCCAGCGGGTACATCTGAAGTCAATGACAATCTCTTTACATTTTTACTGAGGTCTCTCCTGTGCAGGACAAGCCTGTCCCTCTCTCACAACTGCTCCCACCGTAGTGGCTGCACTGTCTACTTAAGGGTCTGTCTTTCCTACTTCTCTTATTCCTAACCTGTAAGCCAAACTACCTGAATGGGCTAACAAGGAAAACCAATGTTGAGCTCACTGCTATCGTTTTGGTTTTTTGTTTTTGTTTTTTGTTTAGATTTATTTTTATCTTATGTGCATGGGTGTTTTGTTTCAAAGGCACCCAAACTGCCTGTTCACGTAAGAGATGCTCCTACAGCACCTTAACTAGTGAGTGCCTGGCCCTCCACCCCACTGAAGGAACCTGCAAACTAAAGGGAGTCCCCTTCTTCATTTACCTCCTCATACCTAACCCATCCCTAGCACTGTATATAGCCCTGGTATCAATGCCTAAAGTACAGGGTGATTCACCTACCAAGGCTTTGGAAAAGTTAATTTTGGAAAGAAACTCAATACGAACTATCTTCTTGTACCTAGAAACTAATATTCCCTTCTAAGGTAAATCATCAGTCATCTGCATTGTTTTAGGGCCCGGGGCACCGGCTCTGCGATTCACACTGCTGTGCTTCCTGGGATGGGAGAGGGCAAGACAAACACAGCAACACTTTTCATTTAGAGCAGAGTGTGCTTCCGGGATGGTGCCAGGCTGCTGCAGAGCTGGGTGAGGCAGAGCCCAGAAGGCTCCCTGAAAGGTGGGATTTGAGAGTCCTTCTTAGATGATCAGATCTGGAAGTAAGAGAAACAGGAAAAGAAAGATACGGCACCTAGGGATGTTAGGTTCCAGAGAGGGATTTTTCTCAAGACTCTTGGAAAGAGCTATGAATGCCAAGTTCAGGAAGTTGGAGGGTCTTTTAATAGTTTCAGGAGAAGGGTGTGTGAGCTATAGACTGGGAGGGAAGAAAGTGATGTCAGATGGCTGGGGGTTTGTAACCACTGGCAAAATAATGGGCTGGACCAGGCAGGGCAGAGAAGAGGGTCAGGAAGAACAGTTGAAGATTAGACTATGACTCTCCATGACATGGTGGCAGCTACATAAGTCCTTGCGTGGATGTGGACAAGAGTTCTGACTGTGAGATGAGAGTGTTTCCTCTCAATGGCTTCTGGTTCCTCTGTCGGACAGTAGCCATTGCTGAGGGTGGGGGCAGGGCTAATGCTGGAGTAGAGATGAGGACAAAGGATACAGGCCCAGCTGCAATCCTCAAGCTTGTAAATGTGGAGAAGCTGCATTTCTCAGCCTCTCATCACTAGGACAAAATACCTGGCGTAGTTAACTAATAAAAAATAAAGGAGCCAGGGCCAACCATAAATAAGATGAATAACAATTGACATCCAGGGAAGAGAAATCTCCCTGAGAATTCCCTTCTTTTTCCTTTCCAGGTAAAAATGAATCACCTGTGATGTCTGCTGTTAGAAGTTCTAATCCTGATGCTGGCCTCCGAACTTATACTACTCAGACAAGGACACCAAACACTAGAGATTGACATCACTAATCTGAAGAAATCCCTCGTTTTGCTGTCTGAAGAGACCTCCAAAAATTTCAAAGGACTTTATTGGACTTGATTTACTCTTTTACAATAGAAGAGACTGTGTACAGCTCTTGACTGTGTACAGCCCTTAAAGAAGAATGTTGCCTTTACATAGACAAGACAGGAATGGTTAAAGAGAGCATGAAAAAGGTCAGAGAAGGCCCTGAAAAGAGAGAGAGAGAGAGAGAGAGAGAGAGAGAGAGAGAGAGAGAGAGAGAGAGAAAGA